AGATAGATAGATAGATAGATAGATAGATAGATAGATAGATAGATAGACAGATATCTCACTGTGGGCCATGAAACCTTCATGTGGTGGCCCAGGCTTAGGAGGCTGAAGCAAGTTAGCCAACTTGGATTACGTAATGAGACCTTGTCTCCCAAAAAGAAAAGGGGGGAGGCAGTGAGTTAGGGAAATGAAACAAACACACATGGCCTCTTATGGAAGGGAACGACAAAAGCAGAGAAAGGTAGAACAAAGCTTCAAAGAAGAGAAACCCAGGAGAACTGTCCCAGGCTAGGGAGCTCCTGGAGGAATCCCAGAACTCACCGACTCTGTGCACGTTTCTTCCTTCCTGAATGGGAATAGAGACAGCAGTTCCACACTGTTTCACAGGGAAGGTAACTGCAGGGACAGCTTTGTGGGAAGGGAGGCATGAGACTGTTGCACACAGGTGCCCTGAGGTGCCTCTCCTCACCTAGGCCTGGTTGACAGGACTGCAGCCCCCGGGTGCACTGATGTGGGAGTATCAAGGGGGAGAAGAGTGTGGTGTGCACACGCCGGGGGGGGAGGGGGCACACAAATAACTTGTGGGCAGACAGTAGCCTGGGCTGATTTCAAAAATACACCTATGCGTTCTGCAATGTTCCTCTCCTCAAAAGAAAAGTTTGGCTGGGAATGTAGTTTGGTGGTGAGTACTTGCCTAGCACACCCAGAACCCCTGTCCCGCCCCCACCCCACCCCCAAAAAAGAGCAATGTTGAGCTTAATTCCTCCCCTAAATATGTTTCTCTTTGCTACCACCAAATACCTGGTAAGAGGCTTAAGGAAGTGTTTATCTTGGCTCACAGTCTGAGGTGACACAGTCCATCACAGTAGAGAATGAACAGCGGCAGGCTCCAATGTGAGGCTGTCTGCTTGCATCTCAGGAACCAGCATGCCTAGCGAAAAGAATGCCAACCTTCCCCAGCATCTGTTTCCAGCTATCCTGCGACCCCAGTTCTGGAGAGGCTGCTGCCCACATCCTGGGTGAGTCTCCTCCCCTGTCTTAGTCTATGGAAACCCAGAAGTGTGTCTCCTAGGTGGTTCCATCCATTCATTCACTATAATGAACCTGATAGGACACAGGTATCCAAGCCAAATGAAAAAAAAAAAAAAAAAAAAAAGGCAATGGTTTTGGTTTCAGGTAAGATCGATCTCTCTCTCTCTCTCCTTCTCTCTCTCTCTCCCCCCTTCTTTGTTCTTCCCTCCTTCCCTCCCACCCCCCACTTTCTCTAGTAAATGCAGCTGCTGTAAGTCACTCAGCCTCAGCTAATGGGTATAGAACCCAGAGCCTCACACATGCTAGGCAATCCATCCCAACCCTTTTCCCCCTCTTTCTTGGTTGAGGCAGGGTCTCCCCAAGTTACCCAGGGCAGGTCTTGAATCTCCATCTCCTATTTCAGCCCCCACTTGCTGGAATTACAGGCTTATACCTGCCCCCGGCTTAGCGGGTGACCTAACAGTTCTTAGGGACTCCTTTAATAATTCACGCGTGGGGGCAAGGTGTGCACACATAAGAGTACACGGCTGCGTAGGCCCCTGCATGTGCTCGGAGGCCAGCGGAGGTGGCCAGGGCCCTGACCTGTCACTTCCCTCT